ACCCCCCAGGAGAACCCCCCAAAATCCCCCTTGGGAGCCGCCCAAAACTGCCCTGGAGAACCCCCCAAAACCCACTGGAGAATCCCCAAAATCCCCCTGGAGAAACCCCCAGGAGAACCTCCCTAAACCCCCCTGAATAACCCCAAAACCCCCTGGAGAACCCCCCAAAATCCCCCTGGGGACCCCCCAAAACCCCCCCTGGAGAACCCCCCAAAATCCCCCTGGGGACTCCCAAAACCCCCCTGGAGAGCCCCCCAAAATCCCCCACAGGCACTCCCCAAAATCCTCTTGGGAGCTGCCCAAACCCCCCTGGGGACCCCCAAAACCACCCCGGGGACCCCAAAACCCCCCTGAGAGCCCCCCAAACCCCTCTGGGGACCCCCCAAACCCCTCTGGGGACCCCGAAACCCCCCCGGGTACCCCCAAAACCCCCCCGGGTACCCCCAAAACCCTCCTGGGGACCCCCAAAACCCCCCCTTGGGACATCCAAAACCCCCCTTGAGAGCCCCCCAAACTCCCCTGGGGACCCCAAAACCCCTCTGGAGACCCCCAAAACCCCTCTGGGTACCCCCAAACCCCTCTGGGTACCCCCAAACCCCCCTGAGAGCCCCCCAAACCCCTCAGGGGACCCCCAAACCGCCCGGGGACCCCCACTCACTGCGCTTGCGGCCGTCCTCCACCTCGAGGGCCACGCGCACTTTGTTGGCCCAGGTGTCGAAGGACTCGGCGCGCACCTTGAGCTTGTGCAGCATGGCCGGCAGCTCGTCCAGGGTGTAGCGGTACCTGGGGGGCACTGGGGCTCACTGGGAGCCCCCACGTGCACCCCAAAAGGCACAAAGGGGACCCCCAGACTGAGCTCCTGGGTGCTGAGATCTTCAGCACCCCCAAATCACAGCCAGGGTCACACCAGGACCCACAGCTCAGCCAGCAAAGGTCCCAACATCCCAAAAATGAACCCCAAATTTTACAGACCCCCACAAACACCCCCAGGTCCCCAGCACCCCAAAACCATCCCCAAATCTGTAGAGGAGCCACCAAGTCATGGCTGTGTCCCCCAGCCCATCCCAGGGACACCCCAAGATCTTCAGCACCCCCAAACCACAGCCAGGGTCACACCAGGACCCACAGCCCAACCAGTAAAGGTCCCAACACCCCAAATCCCACCCCAAATCCCACCCCAAATCTTACAGACCCCCACAAAGCACCCCCAAATCTGTAGAGGAGCCACCAGGTTGTGGTTGTGTCCCCATCCCAGGGACACCCCAAAATTTTCAGCACCCCCAAATCACAGCCAGGGTCACACCAGGACCCCCAGCTCAACCCCATGTGCATCCTTAGGGTCACATCAAAGCCCCCCCAAAAAATGAACCCCAAATTTTACAGACACCCACAAACACCCCCAGGTCCCCAGCACCCCCAAATTGGTAGAGGAGCCACCAGGTTGTGGTTGTGTCCCCATCCCAGGGACACCCCAAAATTTTCAGCACCCCCAAACCACAGCCAGGGTCACACCAGGACCCACAGCTCAACCCCATGTGCATCCTTAGGGTCACATCAAATCCCCCCAAAAATGAACCCCAAACATTACAGAGCCCCACAAACACCCCCAGGTCCCCAGCACCCCCAAACCCATCTCCCACCCCCCAATCCCCGTCCTACCTCCCCCCAAACTCTCTCCCCACCCCCCCAAACTCCTGCCCCAGCCCCCCAACCCTCTCCAAGCCCCCAAATGTCTCTCCCAGCCCCCTAAACCCCTCTCCAAACCCCCCTAATCCTCCCAAACCCCATTGAAATCCTGCCAACCCCCTCTCCAACTCCTCCAAACCCCATTGAAACCCCATCCAAACCCCCCAAACCCCATTCAAACCCCCCAAAAACCCCATTTGAACCCCTCCAAACCCCATTCAAACCCCTCTGAACCCCATTTAAACCACTCTAAACACCCCAGACCCCATTCAAACTCCCCCAAACCCCTCTCCAAACCCCATTCAAACCCCCCCAAACCCCATTTAAACTCCCCCAAACCCCATTTAAACCCCTCTAAACCCCATTCAAATCCCCCCAAACCCCATTTTAACCCCCCAAACCCCATTTTAACCCCCCCAAACCCATTTGAACCCCTCTAAACCTCATTTAATCCCCCGCAAACCCCATTCAAAACTCCATTTAAAACCCTCTGAACCCCATTTAAACCCCTCTGAACCCCATTTAAACCCTCTAAACACCCCAGACCCCATTCAAAACCTCCCCAAACCCCATTGGAACCCCCCAAACCCCATTTTAACCCCCCAAACCCCATTTGACCCCTCTAAACCCATTTTAACCCCCCCAAACCCCATTCAAACCCCCCCAAACCCCATTTAAACCCCCCCAAACCCCATTAAACCCCCCCAAACCCCATCCAAACCCCCCCAAACCCATCCAAACCCCCCCAAACCCCATTCTAACCCCCCCCAGGGCCCACCTGAGGTACTGCTTGCTGCGGGGGCACTTGCAGAGGTCGTCCATGTGGTAGAGGCAGACGAGGCCCTGGGGGCAGTCGTAGCAGGCCAGGGCAGACAGGAAACACGTGGTCTTGCACTTGTCACACTGCCTCTCATCGTCGGGCAGCAGCTCAAAGGCCTCGCGCTCGGCCTCCGTGATGCCCTGGGGGGGCAGGAAAACCAACATCAGAACCCCCCCGTGGGGATTTTGGGGTGTTCTCAGTGCCCCCAATCCCTCCATGATGCTTGAGAGGGATAAAAATTCCCCCACATTTCCTCCTGTAGCTCCAGCCCTTCCTGCTCTGCCTCCGAGATGCCCTGAGAGGGCAAAAAAAAAACCAACATCAGACCCTGCTCATAGAGAGTTTGGGGTGTTCTCAGTGCCCCCAACCCCTTCATGATGCTCTGAGAGGGACAAAAATCCCTCCTGTAGCTCCAGCCCTTCCTGCTCTGCCTCTGAGATGCCTTTGGGGAGTAATAAAATGGACACCAGAACCCCCCCCGTGGGGATTTTGGGGTGTTCTCAGTGCCCCCAAACTGTTCATGATCCACTCAAAGAGATAAAAATTCCCCCACATTTCCCCTGTAGCTCCAGCCCTTCCTGCTCTGCCTCCGGGATGCCCTGGGAGGGCAAAAAAACCAACATCAGAACCCCCCCGTGGGGATTTTGAGGTGTTCTCAGTGCCCTCAATCCCTCCATGATGCTCTGAAAGGGATAAAAATCCCTCCTGTAGCTCCAGCCCTTCCTGCTCTGTCTCCATTATGTCCTGAGAGGGCAAAAAAACCAACATCAGACCCTGCTCATAGAGAGTTTGGGGTGTTCTCAGTGCCCCCAAACTGTTCATGATCCCCTGAGAGGGACAAAAATCCCTCCTGTAGTTCCAGCCCTTCCTGCTCTGCCTCCGGGATGCCCTGGGGGGGCAAAATGATGGATATTAGACCCCCCCGTGGGGATTTTGGGGTGTTCTCAGTGCCCCCAAACTGTTCATGATGTCCTGAAAGGGACAAAAATCCCTCCTGTAGCTTCAGCCCTTCCTGCTCTGCCTCCGTGATGCCCTGGGAGGGCAAAAAAACCAACTTCAGACCCTGCTCATAGAGAGTTTGGGGTGTTCTCAGTGCCCCCAATCCCTCCATGATGCCCTGAGAGGGATAAAAATTCCCCCACATTTCCCCCCTGCAGCTCCAGCCCTTCTGCTCTGTCTCCATTATGCCCTGAGAGGGCAAAAAAACCAACATCAGACCCTGCTCATGGAGGTTTTGGGGTGTTCTCAGTGCCCCCAATCCCTTCATGATGCCCTGAGAGGGATAAAAATTTCTCCTGTGGCTCCAACCCTTCCTGCTCTGCCTCCATTATGTCCTGGGGGGGCAGGAAAACCAACATCAGACCCCCTTCATGGAGAGTTTGGGGTGTTCTCAGTGCCCCCAAACTGTTCATGATGCCCTGAGAGGGGATAAAAATCCCTCCTGAGAGGGATAAAAATCCCTCCTGTAGCTCCAGCCCTTCCTACTCTGCTTCTGTGATGCCCTGGGGGGGCAGGAAAATGCACATCAGAACCCCCCCGTGGGGATTTTGGGGTGTTCTCAGTGCCCCCAAACTGTTCATGATGCCCTGAGAGGGATAAAAATTTCTCCTGTGGCTCCAACCCTTCCTGCTCTGCCTCCATTATGTCCTGGGGGGGCAGGAAAACCAACATCAGACCCTGCTCATGGAGAGTTTGGGGTGTTCTTCTCAGCAGCCCCAAACTGTTCATGATGCCCTGAAAGGGACAAAAATCTCCCCTGTAGCTCCAGCCCTTCCTGCTCTGCCTTGGTTATGTCCTAGGGGGGTAGAAAAAAGGACATCAGACCCTGCTCATAGAGAGTTTGGGGTGTTCTCAGTGCCCCCAACCCCTTCATGATGCTCTGAAAGGGATAAAAATTTCTCCTGTGGCTCCAGCCCTTCCTGCTCTGCCTCTGTGATGCCCTGGGGGGGCAGGAAAATGCACATCAGGACCCCCCCGTGGAGATTTTGGGGTGTTCTCAGCACCCCCAATCACTCCATGATGCTCTGAGAGGCATAAAAAATTCTGTCAGATCCCCCCCAGTTCTGTCACATTTCCCTCTGTAGCTCCAGCCCTTCCTGCTCTGTCTCCGTTATGTCCTAGGGGGGTAGAAAGAAGGACATCAGACACCCCCCATGGAGATTTTGGGGTGTTCTCAGTGCCCCCAAACTGTTCATGATGCCCTGAGAGGGACAAAAATCCCTCCTGTAGCTCCAGCCCTTCCTGCTCTGCCTCCGTGATGCCCTGGGGGGGCAGGAAAATGCACATCAGACCCTGCTCATGGAGGTTTTGGGGTGTTCTCAGTACCCCCAATCCCTTCATGATGCTCTGAGAGGGATAAAAAATTCTGTCAGATCCCCCCCAGTTCTGTCACATTTCCCTCTGCAGCTCCAGCCCTTCCTGCTCTGCCTCTGAGATGTCCTGGGGGGGCAGGAAAATGGAGATCAGACCCCCCCGTGGGGATTTTGGGGTGTTCTCAGTGCCCCCAATCACTCCACAACCCCCTCAGGGTGGCACAACCCCAACCCTCACCCCCTCCCCAGCCCTTCAGGTGCCCCCCAACCCCTCCATAACCTCCCAAAAGTGCCATACCCACAACCCTCATCCCATCCTCAGAGCTTTTGGGGTACCCCCAACACCCCTATAAACCCTTAAGGGTGCCACAACCCCAACCCTCACCCCCTCCTCAGAGCTTTTGGGGTACCCCTAACACCCCAAACTCCTCCATAACCCCCTCAGGGTGACACAACCACAACCTTCACCCCCTCCTCAGACTTTCTGGGGTGCCCCTAACACCCCTATAAACCCTTAGGGGTGCCACAAACACAACCCTCACCCCTTTCCCAGAGCTTTTGGGGTACCCCAACCCTTCCATAACCCCCTGAAGGTGCCACAACCCCAACCCTCACCCCCTCCCCAGCCCTTCAGGTGCCCCCCAACCCCTCCACAACCCCCCAAAAATGCCACAACCCCCCCCCCCCTCCATCTCCCCCTACCCCTTCCCCATTGTTGGGGGGCGCCCCCCACCCTCCCCCCCCCGTATTTTCGGGGGTGCCCCCACCTTCTCGAGCAGGGCCTTGCGCAGCTTGCGCTCCTCCTGCACGAGCACGAACATCTCCTTGTGCACGGCGGCCGCCAGGTTCAGGTCCAGCTTCTCGGGGCTGGCCGCCATCTTGCAGATCAGCTCCTCGTGCGAGAACACGCAGTAGCGGCGCAGGCGGCGATAGTGCTCGATGCACTGCCGGCCTGCGGGGAGCTGGGGGGAAATGGGGGGTCAGGGGGGTCCCCAAAACCCCTGGGACATCCTAAACATAGCCCTGAACCCAGCTGGGCTGAGCCCCCAAAGCTGGGATAGCCCAGTGCTCAGTGTAGTGCTCGATGCACTGCCGGCCTGCAGGGAGCTGGGGGGAAAACGGGGGGTCAGGGGGGTCCCCGAAATCTGGGGGGACCCCTAAACACAGCCCTGAACCCAGCTGGGCTGAGCCCCCAAAGCTGGGATAGCCCAGGGCTCAGTGTAGTGCCTGGGTAGTGCTCGATGCACTGCCGGCCTGCAGGGAGCTGGGGGGAAAACGGGGGGTCAGGGGGGTCCCCAAAACCCCTGGGACATCCTAAACACAGCCCTGAACCCAGCGGGGTAAGCCCAGGGCTGAGCCCCCAAAGCTGGGGTACCCCAGAACTCAATGTAGTGCCTGGGTAGTGCTCGATGCACTGCTGGCCTGCGGGGAGCTGGGGGGGAAACGGGGGTCAGGGGGGTCCCCGAAATCTGGGGGGACCCCTAAACACAGCCCCGAACCCAGCTGGGGTAACCCCAGTGCTCAAACACCCTACAGATCTGAACTGGGTAGTGCTCGATGCACTGCCGGCCTGCGGGGAGCTGGGGGGAAAATGGGGGGAAATGGGGGCTCAGGGGGGTCCCCGAAATCCGGGGGGACCCCTAAACACAGCCCTGAACCCAGTGGGGTAACCCCAGGGCTGAGCCCCCAAAGCTGGGATAGCCCAGGGCTCAGTGTAGTGCTCGATGCGCTGCCGGCCTGCGGGGAGCTGGGGGGAAAAACGGGGGTCAGGGGGGTCCCCAAAACCTCACAGACCCCCTAAACACAGCCCTGAACCCAGTGGAGTAACCCCAGTGCTCAGACACCCCATAGCCCTGTACTGGGTAGTGCTCGATGCACTGCCGGCCTGCAGGGAGCTGGGGGGAAACGGGGGGAAATGGGGGGTCCCCAAAATATGGGGGGACCCTCTGGACACCCTAAACACAGCCCTGAACCCAGCTGGGTAACCCCAGTGCTCAGACACCCCATAGCCCTGCACCGGGTAGTGCTCAATGCACCCCCTTGCCTGCAGGGAGCTGGGGGGAAATGGGGGCTCAGGGGGGTCCCCGAAATCTGGGGGGACCCCTAAACACAGCCCTGAACCCAGCTGAACCCCCAAACTTGGGAACCCTCCCATAGCCTTGAACTGGGTAGTGCTCGACGCACTGCCGGCCTGCAGGGAGCTGGGGGGAAAACGGGGGGTCAGGGGGGTCCCCGAAATCTGGGGGGACCCCTAAACACAGCCCCGAACCCAGTGGGGTAACCCCAGGGCTGAGCCCCCAAAGCTGGGATAGCACAGAACTCAGTGTAGTGCCTGGATAGTGCTCGAGGCACTGCCGGCCTGCGGGGAGCTGGGGGGAAAACGGGGGTCAGGGGGGTCCCCAAAACCTGAGAGAGCCCCTGGACACCCTAAACACAGCCCTGAACCCAGTGGGGTAACCCCAGGGCTGAGCCCCCAAAGCTGGGATAACCCAGATCTCAGTGTAGTGCCTGGGTAGTGCTTGATGCACTGCCGGCCTGTGGGGAGCTGGGGGAAAATGGGGGGTCAGGGGGGTCCCCAAAACATGGGGGGACCCCCTGGACACCCTAAACACAGCCCTGAACCCAGCTGAACCCCCAAACTTGGGAACCCTCCCATAGCCCTGTACTGGGTAGTGCTCGATGCATCCCCTGCCTGTGGGGAGCTGGGGGAAAAACGGGGGGAAATGGGGGGTCCCCGAAATCTGGGGGGACCCCTAAACACAGCCCTGAACCCAGCTGGGTAACCCCAGTGCTCAAACACCCTATAGACCTGAACTGGGTAGTGCTCGATGCACTGACGGCCTGCGGGGAGCTGGGGGGAAAACGGGGGTCAGGGGGGTCCCCAAAACCCCTGGGACATCCTAAACACAGCCCTGAACCCAGCGGGGTAACCCCAGTGCTCAGACACCCCATAGACTTGTATTGGGTAGTGCTCAATGCACTGCCGGCCCGCGGGGAGCTGGGGGAAAAAACGGGGGGAAATGGGGGCTCAGGGGGGTCCCCGAAATCTGGGGGGACTCCTAAACACAGCCCTGAACCAAGCAGAGTAACCCCAGTGCTCAGACACCCCATAGACCTGAACTGGGTAGTGCTCGATGCGCTGCCGGCCTGCAGGGAGCTGGGGGGGAACGGGGGGAAATGGGGGGTCAGGGGGGTCCCCGAAATCTGGGGGGACCCCTAAACACAGCCCTGAACCCAGCTGGGCTGAGCCCCCAAAGCTGGGATAGCCCTGTACTGGGTAGTGCTCGATGCACTGCCGGCCTGCGGGGAGCTGGGGGGAAACGGGGGGTCAGGGGGGGCCCCAAAACATGGGGGGATCCCTAAACACAGCCCTGAACCCAGTGGGGTAACCCCAGAGCTGATCCCCCAAAGCTGGGATAGCCCAGGGCTCAGTGTAGTGCCTGGATAGTGCTCGATGCACTGCCAGCCTGCGGGGAGCTGGGGGGAAATGGGGGAAAATGGGGGCTCAGGGGGGTCCCCAAAACCTGAGAGAGCCCCTGGACACCCTAAACACAGCCCTGAACCCAGCTGGGCTGAGCCCCCAAAGCTGGGATAGCCCAGTGCTCAGTGTAGTGCTCGATGCACTGCCGGCCTGCGGGGAGCTGGGGGGAAAACGGGGGGTCAGGGGGGTCCCTAAAATCTGGGGGGACCCTCTGGACACCCTAAACACAGCCCTGAACCCAGCTGGGTAACCCGAGTGCTCAGACACCCCATAGCCCTGCACTGGGTAGTGCTCGATGCATTGCCGGCCTGCAGGGAGCTGGGGGGAAAACGGGGGGTCAGGGGGGTCCCTAAAACATGGGGGGACCCCCTGGACCCCCTAAACACAGCCCTGAATCCAGTGGGGTAACCCCAGTGCTCAGACACCCCATAGACTTGTACTGGGTAGTGCTCGATGCACTGCCGGCCTGCAGGGAGCTGGGGGAAAATGGGGGCTCAGGGGGGTCCCCGAAATCTGGGGGGACCCCTAAACACAGCCCTGAACCAAGCAGAGTAACCCCAGTGCTCAAACACCCTATAGACCTGAACTGGGTAGTGCTCGATGCACTGCCGGCCTGCAGGGAGCTGGGGGGAAAAACGGGGGGTCAGGGGGTCCCCAAAACCCCTGGGACACCCTAAACACAGCCCTGAACCCAGTGGGGTAACCCCAGTGCTGATCCCCCAAAGCTGGGAACCCTCCCATAGCCCTGAACTGGGCAGTGCTTGATGCATCCCCTGCCTGTGGGGAGCTGAGGGGAAAATGGGGGCTCAGGGGGGTCCCCAAAACCTCAGAGAGCCCCTGGACACCCTAAACACAGCCCTGAACCCATTGGAGTAACCCCAGTGCTCAGACACCCCATAGACTTGTACTGGGTAGTGCTCGATGCACTGCCGGCCTGCGGGGAGCTGGGGGAAAATGGGGGGTCAGGGGGGTCCCCGAAATCTGGGGGGACCCTCTGGACACCCTAAACACAGCCCTGAACCCAGCTGAACCCCCAAACTTGGGAACCTTCCCATAGCCCTGTACTGGGTAGTGCTCGATGCACTGCCGGCCTGCAGGGAGCTGGGGGAAAAACGGGGGGTCAGGGGGGTCCCCAAAACCTCAGAGACCCACTAAACACAGCCCTGAACCCAGTGGGGTAACCCCAGGGCTGAGCCCCCAAAGCTGGGATAGCCCAGGGCTCAGTGTAGTGCTCAATGCACTGCCGGCCTGCGGGGAGCTGGGGGAAAACGGGGGTCAAGAGGGACCCCAAAACCTGGGGGCACCCCTAAACACAGCCCTGAACCCAGCTGAACCCCCAAACTTGGGAACCCTCCCATAGCCCTGTACTGGGTACACTCGATGCACTGCCGGCCCGCGGGGAGCTGGGGGAAAAATGGGGGGAAATGGGGGCTCAGGGGGGTCCCCAAAACCTCAGAGACCCCCTAAACACAGCCCTGAACCCATTGGAGTAACCCCAGTGCTGATCCCCCAAAGCTGGGGTACCCCAGATCTCAGACACCCCATAGCCCTGCACTGGGTAGTGCTGAATGCACCCCCTGCCTGTGGGGAGCTGAGGGGAAAATGGGGGCTCAGGGGGGTCCCCAAAACCTGGGGGCACCCCTAAACACAGCCCTGAACAGATCTCAGCACCCCCAAACCCGGGGAACCCCCCCATAGCCCTGACCTGGGCAGTGCTCAATGCTCCCCCTGCCTGTGGGGGCTCCCCAAAACGGGGCCCAGAATATTCTGGATATTTTCCTTTCCTCCCCAGGTGCATTTTCCACCTCCCAGGTACTTTCTATGCCCCTCCAAGCACATTTTGTGTCCCCCTGAATTTTCTTTTCCTTCCTTTCCCCACCCTCAAATTTCCCCGTCCCCCGTAAATTTTTCTTTGCCCTCCTCCGCTTTCCTCCTTGATTCCCCCATGTATTTTCTGCCTCCCCAGGCGAATTTCCTGCCCCTCCCAGGTTATTTTGGAGCCCCCCCCGAGCTCACCCAGTCAGCCGTGCAGAAGTTGACGGCCTCAGCAAAGTTGTAGCCCTGGTTGAAGCCGCTGTGGTAGGCGCGGGGGAAGGTGATGACGAACTCGCCTGCGCATTGGTTGGTCCGGACCACCTGGGGGCGCACCTGAGCTCAGCGCCGGCCTCGGGAGGGGGGGACAGGGCTGGGGACAGGGGATGGGGACGGCCCCAAACTCACGGGGACGCCGTGGGCCATGAGGGTGTTGGGGTTCATGAGGGTGACGAGCTGGTGCAGGAGGTCGGGCTGGCTCTCGAACAGCTCCGGCGTCAGCTTCTTCATCACCTCCTCCAGGTGCTCGGCCGCGAACGACGGGACCCCGTACCAGGTCTTGGGCTCGCCCCTGGGGGAGAGGGAGAGCCCAAAAACCTCCTTAGTCCAGCCTAAAAACCTCCTCATCCCATTCTGTACCACTGCAAAAACCTCATCCCACCCCGTACCAGGTCTTGGGCTCGCCCCTGGGGTGGGGGACACCCCAAAAACCTCCTTATTCCACCCCAAAAAAACCTCCCTATTCCATCCTAAAAACCTCCTGATCTCACCCCAAAAACCTCCTTAGTCCAGCCTAAAAACCTTCTCATTCCACCCTAACAACCTCGTCCCACCCCGTACCAGGTCTTGGGCTCGCCCCTGGGGGAGAGGGAGAGCCCAAAAACCTCCTTATTGCATCCTAAAAACCTCCTTAGTCCAGCCCAAAAACCTCCTTATTCTATCCCAAAAACCTCCTTATTGCATCCTAAAAACCTCCTCATTCCACCCCAAAAACCTCCTTATTCCATCCTAAAAACCTCCTTAGTCCAGCCTAAAAACCTCCTGATCCAGCCTAAAAACCTCCTCATCCCATTCTGTACCGCCCCAAAAACCTCCTGATCCCACCCCAAAAACCTCCTTAGTGCAGCCTAAAAACCTCCCAATTCCATCCTAAAAACCTCCTCGTCCCACCCCAAAAACTTCCTCATCCCACCCCAAAAACCTCCTTATTCCATCCTAACAACCTCCTTAGTCCATCCTAAAAACCTCCTCATCTCACCCCAAAAACCTCCTTATTCTATGATAAAAACCTCCTCATCTCACCCCAACAACCTCGTTATTCTATCCTAAAAACCTGCCTATTCCATCCTAAAAACCTCATCCCACCCCAAAACCCTCCTCATGCCACCCCAAAAAATTCCTTATTACACCCCAAAAACCTCCTCATTCCACCCCAAAAACTTCCTCATCCCATTCTGTACCACCCCAAAAATTTCCTCATCCCACCCCGTACCAGGTCTTGGGCTCAGTCCTGGGGGTGTGGGAGACCCCAAAAACCTCCTTGTTCTATCCTAAAAACCTCCTCATCTCACCCCAAAAACCTCCTTATTACACCCCAAAAACCTCCTTATTCTATCCTAAAAACCTGCTCATCCCACCCCGTACCAGGTCTTGGGCTCGCCCCTGGGGGAGAGGGAGAGCCCAAAAACCTCCTTATTCCATCCTAAAAACCTCCTCATCCCACCCCAAAAACCTCCTTAGTCCAGCCTAAAAACCTTCTTATCCCACCCCAAAAACCTCCTCATCCCATTCTGTACCGCCCCAAAATCCTCCTCATCTCACCCCAAAAACCTCCTTATTCTATCCTAAAAACCTTGTTATTCTATCCTAAAAACCTGGCTATTCCATCCTAAAAACCTCCCTATTCCACCCCAAAAACCTCCTTATTCTATCCTAAAAACCTCCCTATTCTATCCTAAAAACCTCCTTAGTGCATCCTAAAAACCTCCTCATCTCACCCCAAAAACCTCCTTATTCTATCCTAAAAACCTCCTCATCCCACCCCGTACCAGGTCTTGGGCTCACCCCTGGGGTGGGGGAGAGCCCAAAAACCTCCTTAGTCCAGCCTAAAAACCTCCTCATCCCACCCCAAAAACCTCCTTATTGCATCCTAAAAACCTCCTTAGTCCAGCCTAAAAACCTCCTTAGTCCAGCCTAAAAACCTCCCTATTCTATCATGAAAACCTCCTCGTCCCAGCCCAAAAACTTCCTCATCTCACCCCAAAAAACCACCTTATTCTATCCTAAAAACCTCCTTAGTCCATCCTAAAAACCTCCCTATTCCATCCTAAAAACCTCCTCATCTCACCCCAAAAACCTCGTCCCACCCCGTACCAGGTCTTGGGCTCGCCCCTGGGGTGAGGGAGAGCCCAAAAACCTCCTTAGTGCAGCCTAAAAACCTCCTCATCCAACCCCAAAAACCTCCTTAGTCCAGCCTAAAAACCACCTTATTCTATCCCAAAAACCTCCTTATTCTATCCTAAAAACCTCCCTATTCCATCCTAAAAACCTCCTCATCTCACCCCAAAAACCTCCTGATCCCACCCAAAAAACCTCCTTAGTCCAGCCTAAAAACCTCCATATTCTATCCCAAAAACCTCCTTATTGCATCCTAAAAACCTCCTCATCCCACCCCAAAAACCTCCTTAGTCCAGCCTAAAAACCTTCTCATTCCACCCCAAAAACTTCCTCATGCCACCCCAAAAAATTCCTTATTACACCCCAAAAACCTCCTCACCCCACCCCAAAAACCTCCTGATCTCATCCTCTACCGTGTCTTGGGTTTGCCCCTGGGGATGGGAGACCCCAAAAATGTCCTTATTCCAACCCCAAAAACCTCCTGACCTCACCCCAAAAACCTCCTCATCCCACCCCAAAAACCTCCTCATCCCACCCCAAAACCTCCTTATTACACCCCAAAAACCTCCTTAGTCCATCCTAAAAACCTCCTCATCCCACCCCAAAAACTTCCTCATCCCACCCCGTACCAGGTCTTGGGCTCGCCCCTGGGCATGGGACACCCCAAAAACCTCCTTAGTCCACCCCAAAAAATTCCTTATTACACCCCAAAACCCTCCTCATTCCACCCCAAAAACTTCCTCATCCCATTCTGTACCGCCCCAAAAACCTCCTCATCCCACCCCGTACCAGGTCTTGGGCTCAGCCCTGGGGGTGTGGGAGACCCCAAAAACCTCCTTGTTCTATCCTAAAAACCTCCTCATCTCACCCCAAAAACCTCCTTATTACACCCCAAAAACCTCCTTATTCTATCCTAAAAACCTCCTCATCCCACCCCAAAAACCTCCTTAGTCCATCCTAAAAACCTCCTCATCCCATTCTGTACCGCCCCAAAAACCTCCTGATCCCACCCCAAAAACCTCCTTATTCTATCCCAAAATCCTCCTTATTCTATCATAAAAACCTCCTCATCCCACCCCAAAAACCTCCTTATTCCATCCTAAAAGTTTCATCATCCCATCCTAAAAACCTCCTCGTCCCATTCTGTACTGCCCCAAAAATCTCCTCGTCCCACCCCGTACCAGGTCTTGGGCTCGCCCCTGGGGTGAGGGACACCCCAAAAACCTCCTTAGTCCAGCCTAAAAACCTCCTCATCCCACCCCAAAAACCTCCTTATTACACCCCAACAACCTCGTTATTCTATCCCAAAAACCTTCTCGTCCCACCCCAAAAACCTCCTCATCTCACCCCAACAACCTCGTTATTCTATCCTAAAATCCTCCTTATTCCATCCTAAAAACCTCCTCATCTCACCCCAACAACCTCGTTATTCTATCCTAAAATCCTCCTTATTGCATCCTAAAAACTTCCTCATCTCACCCCAAAAACCTCCTTATTACACCCCAAAAACCTCCTTATTCCATCCTAAAAACCTCCTTAGTCCATCCTAAAAACCTCCTGATCCCACCCCAAAAATCTCCTCGTCCCACCCCGTACCAGGTCCTGGGCTCTCCCCTGGGCATGGGACACCCCAAATCTGCTCCTCCCGACCCCCAAATACCCCACAATCGCCCCCTGGACACCCAAAATCACCCCAAAGTCGCTCCCCAAGTGCCCCAAACACCCCAAAGTTGCCCCCAAATGCCCCCCAGACACCCCTAAATGCCTCAAAGTTGCCCCCAAATGCCCCAAAGTTGCCCCAAATGCCCCAAAGTTGCCCTTCTGGCCCCCCAGACACCCCCTAAATGCCCCAAAGTTGTCCCCGAAGTTGCCCCTAAATGCCCCAAAGCTGCCCCCAAATGCCCCCCAGACACCCCCGAAATTGCCCCCAAATGCCCCAGTTGCTCCCAAATGCCCCAAAGTTGCCCCCAAATGCCCCCCAGACACCCCCAAATGCCCCAAAGCTGCCCCAAAGTTGGCCCCGAAGTTGGCCCCGAAGTTGCCCCCAAATGCCCCGAAGTTGCCCCAAATGCCCCAAAGTTGCCCCCAAATGCCCCCCAGACGCCCCCAAAATTGCCCCCAAATGCCCCTGGGTGCCCCCAAATGCCCCTGGGTGTCCCCAAATGCCCCCCAGACACCCCCGAAATTGCCCCCAAATGCCCCAAATGCCCCGAAGCTGCCCCTAAATGCCCCAAAGCTGCCCCTAAATGCCCCCCAGTCACCCCTAAATGCCCCCCAGTCACCCCCAAATGCCCCAAACCTGCCCCCAAATGCCCAAAGCTGCCCCTAAATGCCCCAAAGTTGCCCCAAATGCCCCCCAGCCACCCCTAAATGCCCCTAGACACCCCTAAATGCCCCCCAAAGTTGCCCCCAAATGCCCCCTAGATGCCCCTAAATGCCCCCCAAAGCTGCCCCCAAATGCCCCCCAGACACCCCCAAAATTGCCCCCAAATACCCCGAAGTTGCCCCCAAATGCCCCAAAGTTGGCCCCGAAGTTGCCCCCAAATGCCCCCCAGACATTCCCCAAATGCCCCAAAGTTGCCCCAAATGCCCCCCAGACACCCCCAAATGCCCCAAAGTTGGCCCCAAAGTGGCCCCAAATGCCCCCCAGACACCCCCAAAATTGCCCCCAAGTGCCCCAAAATTACCCCAAATGCCCTGAAGCTGCCCCTAAGTGTCCTCCAGACACCCCCCAAATGCCCCCCAGCCACCCCCAAATGCCCCTGGGTGCCCCTAAATGCCCCTGGGTGTCCCCAAATGCCCCCCAGACACCCCCGAAATTGCCCCCAAATGCCCCAAAATTGCCCCCAAATTTGCCCCCAATGCTTCAAAGTTGCCCCCAAATGCCCGCCAGACACCCCTAAATGCCCCCCAGACACCCCCAAAATTGCCCCCAAATGCCCCGAAGTCGCCCCCAAATGCCCCCCAGACACCCCCAAATGCCCCGAAGTTGCCCCAAATGCCCCGAAGTTGCCCCAAATGCCCCTGGGTGCCCCCAAATGCTCCAAAGTTGCCCCCAAATGCCCCAAAGCTGCCCCAAATGCCCCCCAGCCACCCCTAAATGCCCCCCAGCCACCCCCTAAATGCCCCCCAGACAGCCCCGAAATTGCCCCCAAATGCCCCAGTTGCTCCCAAATGCCCCAAAGTTGCCCCCAAATGCCCCCCAGACACCCCCAAATGCCCCAAAGCCACCCCCAAATGCCCCCCAGACACCCCCAAATGCCCCAAAGCTGCCCCAAAGTTGGCCCCGAAGTTGGCCCCGAAGTTGCCCCAAATGCCCCAAAGTTGCCCCCAAATGCCCCTGGGTGCCCCAAATGCCCTGAAGTTGCCCCAAATGCCCCTGGGTGCCCCAAATGCCCCTGGGTGCCCCCAAATGCCCCGAAGTTGCCCCAAATGCCCCCCAGCCACCCCCCAAATGCCCCGGGGTGCCCCGAATGCCCTGAAGTTGCCCCAAATGCCCCAAAGTGGCCCCCAAATGCCCCCCAGACACCCCCCAAATGCCCCGAAGTTGCCCCCAAATGCCCCAAAGTTGCCCCTCTGGCACCCCAGCCACCCCCTAAATGCCCCCCAGACACCCCCAAATGCCCCAAAGCTGCCCCAAATGCCCCAAAGTGGCCCCAAATGCCCCCCAGACACCCCCAAATGCCCCCCAGACACCCCCAAAATTGCCCCCAAGTGCCCCAAAGCTGCCCCAAATGCCCCAAAGTTGGCCTCGAAGTTGCCCCAAATGCCCCAAAGTTGCCCCCAAATGCCCCCCAGACACCCCCGAAATTGCCCCCAAATGCCCCTGGGTGCCCCCAAATGCCCCCCAGACACCCCCGAAGTTGCCCCAAATTTGCCCCCAATGCCCCAAATTTGCCCCAAATGCCCCAAAGCCGCCCCAAATGCCCCGGGGTGCCCACCAGTGGAGGTAGTTGATGGAGTAGCTCCAGTGGTCCTCGATGTGCCAGCAGAAGGCTGAGAACACCATGCCCACGTAGAGCCAGGGCACCTTCATGCCCGAGATGTCGGCGTTGATGTGGCACAGCACCGACTGCTGCAGCACCGGCATCACGTTCAGGTTCCAGCCGCTGCCCGCGTACTCCTGGGGACACACAGGGGGGACAGGGTCACCGGGGACAGGGGGACAGCCAGGGACAGGGTCAACCAGGGGACATGGGGACACACAGGGGAGGGGGACACACAGGGAATGGGGACACACAGGGACAGGGTCACCAGGGGACATGAGGACACACAGGGGACATGGGGACAGCCAGGGACAGGGTCACCGGGGGACAGGGGGACACACAGGGGACATGGGGACAGCCAGGGACAGGGTCACCGGGGGACAGGGGGACACACAGGGACATGGGGACAGGGTCACCGGGGGACAGGGGGACACACAGGGGACAGACAGGGGACACCAGGGGATGGGGACACCCGGGAGACATGGGGACACCGGGGGGACAGGGTCACCGGGGGACATGGGGACACACAGGGGATATGGGGACAGCCAGGGGGACATGGGGACACCCAGGGAATGGGGACACACAGGGCACAGCCAGGGGACAGCGTCACCCAGGGGACATGGGGACATTGAGGGGACATGGGGACACCCAGGGGACATGGGGACAGCCAGGGGACATGGGGACAGCCAGGGGGACATGGGGACACCCAGGGGACAGGGTCACCAGGGGACATGGGGACACACAGGGGACACAGGGACAGCCAGGGGACAGCCAGGGGACAGCATCACCCAGGGGAGGGGGACACCGGGGGGACAGGGTCACTGGGGATGGGGACACACAGGGGACAGCGTCACCCAGGGGATGGGGACACTGAGGGGACATAGGGACACCCAGGGATGGGGACACCCAGGGATGGGGACACCCAGGGGACAGGGTCACCAGGGATGGATGGGGACACCGAGGGGGGACAGGGTCAACCAGGGGATGAGGACACACAGAGGACAGGGTCACCGGGGATGGGGACACACAGGGGACATGGGGACACTGAGGGATGGATGGGGACACCTGGGAGACACAGGGTCACCCAGGGGGGATGGGGACAGCCAGGGGACACCGGGGACAGCGTCACCCAGGGGACATGGGGACACCCAGGGGACATGGGGACAGCCAGGGGACAGCGTCACCCAGGGCATGGGGACACCGAGGGGACATGGGGACACGCGGCGAATGGATGGGGACACCCAGGGACAGGGTCACCAGGGATGGGGACACCCAAGGGGACATGGGGACACTGAGGGGACATGGGGACAGCCAGGGGACAGCCAGGGGACAGCGTCACCCAGGGGACATGGGGACACCCGGGGGACATGGGGACACCCGGGGGACATGGGGACACCCAGGGAATGGGGACACCCAGGGGATGGGGACACCCAGGGAATGGGGACACCCGGGGGATGGGGACACCCGGGGGACATCCAGGGACAGGGTCACCCAGGGATGGGGACACCCAGGGGATGGGGACACTGAGGGATGGATGGGGACACCCAGGGGACAGCGTCACCAGGGGACGGGGACACCCAGGGAATGGATGGGGACACCCGGGGAATGGGGACACCCAGGGGACGGGGACACCCAGGGATGGATGGGGACACGCAGGGGACACCCAGGGACAGCGTCACCAGGGATGGGGACACCGAGGGGACAGGGTCACCAGGGGATGGGGACACCCAGGGAATGGGGACACCCAGGGGACATGGGGACAGCGTCACCAGGGCATGGGGACGCCCGGGGGACAGTGTCACCCAGGGGATGGGGACACTGAGGGGACACCGAGGTGACAGTGTCCCCCCCGGGAGAAGTGACAATGTCCCTGGCCAGAGGTGACAAAGTCCCTGGCAGTGTCCCCCCAGGGGAGGTGACAATTTCCCCCTGGGGGAAGTGACGCTGTCCCCACTGTGCCACCTCCTCCTCAGGGAAGGTGACACTGTCCCTGTGGCAGTGCCCTGGGGGAGGTGACAATGCCCCAGGGGGAGGTGGCACTGTCCCCAATGTCCCCAGTGTCCCCAGCATCCCCACTGTCCCCAGTGTCCCCAGCATCCCCACTGTCCCCAGTGTCCCCATTGTCCCCAGTGTCCCCAATGTCCCCAGCGTCCCCAACGTCCCCAATGTCCCCAGTGTCCCCATTGTCCCCACTGTCCCCAATGTCCCCATTGTCCCCAGTGTCCCCATTGTCCCCCCATTGTCCCCATTGTCCCCAAGTCCCCACTGTCCCCATTGTCTCTATGAGCTCCCCAAGTCCCCACTGTCCCCACTGTCCCCATTGTCCCCAATGTCCCCATTGTCCCCAGCATCCCCATTGTCCCCATTGTCCCCATTGTCCCCAGTGTCCCCAATGTCCCCAGTGTCCCCAGTGTCCCCAGTGTCCCCAATGTCCCCAATGTCCCCATTGTCCCCAGCATCCCCATTGTCCCCATTGTCCCCATTGTCCCCAGTGTCCCCATTGTCCCCAGCATCCCCATTGTCCCCAATGTCCCCAGTGTCCCCAGTGTCCCCACTGTCCCCACTGTCCCCAATGTCCCCACTGTCCCCATTGTCCCCATTGTCCCCACTGTCCCCAGTGTCCCCATTATCCCCATTGTCCCCAGCGTCCCCACTGTCCCCATTGTCCCCAGCGTCCCCACTGTCCCCATTGTCCCCAATGTCCCCGGCGTCCCCACTGTCCCCACTGTCCCACCTCCTCCTGGGGGAACATGACACCATCCCTGTGGCAGTGCCCTGGGGGAGGTGGCACTGTCCTCAATGTCCCCATTGTCCCCATTGTCCCCATTGTCCCCATTGTCCCCAATGTCCCCAGCGTCCCCAATGTCCCCACTGTCCCCACTGTCCCCAATGTCCCCAGTGTCCCCATTGTCCCCGGTGTCCCCAGCGTCCCCAGCGTCCCCAGCATCCCCACTGTCCCCAGTGTCCCCATTGTCCCCAATGTCCCCAGTGTCCCCATTGTCCCCACTGTCCCCACTGTCCCCAATGTCCCCACTGTCCCCAGTGTCCCCAATGGCCCCAGCATCCCCAATGTCCCCACTGTCCCCAGCATCCCCATTGTCCCCAGTGTCCCCAGCGTCCCCAGTGTCCCCATGTCCCCATTGTCCCCAATGTCCCCACTGTCCCCACTGTCCCCATTGTCCCCAGTGTCCCCAGTGTCCCCAATGTCCCCAGCGTCCCCACTGTCCCCAGTGTCCCCACTGTCCCCATTGTCCCCATTGTCCCCAGTGTCCCCAGTGTCCCCAGTGTCCCCACTGTCCCCATTGTCCCTAGTGTCCCCACTGTCCCCACTGTCCCCACTGTCCCCAGTGTCCCCACCTCCTCCTCGGGGGACAGGCGCCGTTTGCCGTCGCGCACGGGGAAGCCGGAGCCGAACTCCTTGGAGTGGATGTCGGCGCCGTACTCCACGGTCACGTCCTCCTCGATGCTGTTCACCAGGCGCCAGAACTCCTTCTCCACCAGCTCCGTGGGCACCATCTGCGGGCAGGGGGCATTTTGGGGGCATTTGGAGGGGATTTGGGGGCATTTTGGGGGGATTTGGGGGCATTTTGGGGGTTTCTGGGGGGATTTTGGGGCTGGTCACCAGGTGCCAGAACGCCTTCTCCACCAGCTGTGTAGGCACCATCTGCGGGCAGGGGGCGTCAGGAGGGGATTTGGGGGCTTTTGGGGGGGATTTGGGGGGGATTCTGGGGCATTTTGGGGGGATTTGGGGGCATTTTGGGGTTTTCTTGGGCGATTTTGGAGCCAGTCACCAGGTACCAGAACTCCTTCTCCACCAGCTCCGTGGGCACCATCTGCGGGCAGGGGGTGCCAGGAGGGGTCAGGGAAGGGATTTGGGGGCTTTTGGGGGGGATTTGGGGGGGATTCTGGGGGCATTTTGGGAGGATTTGGGGGCATTTTGGGGGGATTTAGGGGCTTTTTGGGGGTTTCTGGGGGGATTTTGGGGCTGGTCACCAGGTACCAGAACTCCTTCTCCACCAGCTCCATGGGCACCATCTGTGGGTAGGGGGCATCAGGGGGGGATTTGGGGGCATTTTGTGGGAATTCTGGGGCATTTTGGGGGGATTTGGGGGCATTTTGGGGGGATTTGGGGGGAGGTTTGGGGGGGTTTTGGGGAGCATTTTGTGGGCATTTTGGAGCCGGTCACCAGGCACCAGAACCCTTCTCCACCAGCTCCGTGGGCACCATCTGCGGGCAGGGGGCGTCAGGAGGGGATTTGGGGGCTTTTGGGGAGATTTGGGGGCATTTTGTGGGGATTTGGGGGGGATTCTGGGGCATTTTGGGGGGATTTGGGGGCATTTTGGGGTTTTCTTGGGGGATTTTGGAGCCAGTCACCAGGCACCAGAACTCCTCCTCCACCAGCTCCGTGGGCACCATCTGCGGGCAGGGGGCATCAGCAGGGGTTGGGGAAAGGATTCGGGGGCTTTTTGGGGGTTTTTGGGGGGATTTGGGGGCATTTTGGGGGTTTCTGGGGGGATTTTGGGGCTGGTCACCCAAGCGCCAGAACTCCTCCTCCACCAGCTCCGTGGGCATCATCTGTGGGCAGGGGGCGTCAGGAGGGATTGGGAAGGGATTTGGGGGCTTTTGTGGGGGATTTAGGTGCATTTTGGGGGGATTTGGGGGCTTTTTGGGGGTTTCTGGGGGGATTTTGGGGCTGGTCACCCGGTGCCAGAACTCCTCCTCCACCAGCTCTGTGGGCACCATCTGTGGGCAGGGGGCGTCAGGAGGGATTGGGAAGGGTTTTGGGGGCTTTTGTGGGGGATTTGGGGGCATTTTGGGAAGATTTGGGGGCATTTTGGGGGGATTCTGGGGCATTTTGGGGGTTATTGGGGGGATTTTGGGGTTTTCTTGGGGGATTTAGGGGCTGGTCACCAGGTGCCAGAACTCCTTCTCCACCAGCTCTGTGGGCACCATCTGCGGGCAGGGGGCGTCAGGAGGGGTCAGGGAAAGGATTTTGGGGCTTTTGGGGGGGATTTGGGGGGATTCTGGGGCATTTTGGGGGGATTTGGGGGCATTTTGGGGTTTTCTTGGGGGATTTTGGAGCCAGTCACCAGGCACCAGAACTCCTCCTCCACCAGCTCCGTGGGCACCATCTGCGGGCAGGGGGCATCAGGAGGGGATTTGGGGGCATTTTGGGGGGATTCTGGGGCACTTTAAGGGGATTTGGGGGTATTTTGGGGGGATTTGGGGGCATTTTGGGGGTTTTGGGGGGCATTCTGAAGGGATTTTGGGGCTGTTCACCAGGCGCCAGAACTCCTTCTCCACCAGCTCCGTGGGCACCATCTGCGGGCAGGGGGCGTCAGGAGGGGATTTGGGGGCATTTTGTGGGAATTCTGAGGCATTTTGGGGGATTTGGGGGCATTTTGGGGGGATTTGGGGGCATTTTGGGGGTTTCTGGGGGGATTTTGGGGCCGGTCACCCGGTGCCAGAACTCCTCCTCCACCAGCTCCGTGGGCACCATCTGCGGGCAGGGGGCGTCAGGAGGGGTCAGGGAAGGGATTTGGGGGGGCCAAGGGCCTTCAAGGGGTCCTGGATGATTTTAGGGGTGTCTGGGGGAGACCTGGAGGGGTTTTGGGGGGTATCCAGGCAGGTTTTGGGGGCCTCAGATTGAGGGGAACATTGGAGCAGTCAGCCTTGAAGGCCTCACCCATGTACCCAAAGGGAGAGGAGCCCAAGGGAGTCTGGGGGGCTCAGGAGAGTCTGGGAGGTTTTGGGGGGACCCAGGGATATTTTTGGGGTCCGGGGGAGTTTTGGGGGGTTCCAGGGGGTTTTGGGGGTATCCAGACAGGTTTTGGGGTGCTCACATGGACAGGCATGTTGAAGCAGTCGGCCTTGAAGGCCTCACCCATGTCCCCAAAGGGAGAGGAGCTCAGGGGACTCTGGGGGGCTTAGGAGAGCCTGGGAGGTTTTTGGGGTCTGGGGGAGTTCTGGGGGTATCCAGGGGGTTCTGGGGGGATCCAGGGGGTTCTGGGGAGATCCAGGCGGGTTTTGGGGGATCCAGGCAGGTTTTGGGGGGCTCACATGGACAGGCATGTTGAAGTAGTCAGCCTTGAAGGCATCACCCATGTCCCCAAAGGGAGAGGAGTCCAATGGAGTCTGGGGGGCTCAGGGGAACCTGGGAGGTTTTGGGGGGACCCAGGGATATTTTTGGGGTCCAGGGGAGTTTTGGGGGGTTCCAGGGGGTTTTGGGGGTATCCAGACAGGTTTTGGGGGGCTCACATGGACGGGCATGTTGAAGCAGTCAGCCTTGAAGGCCTCACCCATGTCCCCAAAGGGAGGGGAGCTCAGGGGACTCTGGGGGGCTCAGGAGATCCAGGGGATTTTGGGGGGTACCCAGGGTGTTCTGGGGGGGTATCCAGGGGGTTTTGGGGGATCCAGGCAGGTTTTGGGGGGCTCACATGGACGGGCATGTTGAAGCAGTCAGCCTTGAAGGCCTCACCCATGTCCCCAAAGGGAGGGGAGCCCAATGGAGTCTGGGGGGCTCAGGAGAGTCTGGGGGGTTTTTGGGGTCCGGGGGAGTTCTGGGGGTATCCAGGGGGTTCTGGGGGTATCCAGGGGGTTCTGGGGGATCCAGGCAGGTTTTGGGGGATCCAGGCAGGTTTTGGGGGGCTCACATGGACGGGCATGTTGAAGTAGTCGGCCTTGAAGGCGTCGGCCATCTCCCCAAAGCTCTGCAGCGTGTACTCCCGCGTGGCCTGCTCGAAACCAAACGCCTCCGGGGGCCGCTTGCACTCCTGGGGGGACACCGGGGACATCAGGGGGCTTGGGGACACTGGGAGAGGTCACTGGGGACACTGGGAGGGGTCATTGGGGACACTGGGAGGGGTCACTGGGGACACTGGGAGGGGTCAAAGGGCTTGGGGACACTGGGAGGGGTCACTGGGGACACTGGGAGGGGACACTGGGGACACTGGGAGGGGTCACTGGGGACACTGGGAGGGGTCAAAGGGCTTGGGGACACTGGGAGAGGTCATTGGGGACACTGGGAGAGGTCATTGGGGACACTGGGAGGGGTTAAAGGGCTTGGGGGCACTGGGAGAGGTCACTGGGGACACTGGGAGGGGTCACTGGGGACACTGGGAGAGGTCAAAGGGCTTGGGGACACTGGGAGAGGTCATTGGGGACACTGGGAGAGGTCATTGGGGACACTGGGAAAAGTCATTGGGGACACTGGGAGGGGTCACTGGGGACACTGGGAGGGGTCACTGGGGACACTGGGAGGGGTCAAAGGGCTTGGGGACACTGGGAGGGGTCATTGGGGACACTGGGAGAGGTCATTGGGGACACTGGGAGAGGTCACTGGGGACACTGGGAGGGGTCACTGGGGACACTGGGAGGGGTCAAAGGGCTTGGGGACACTGGGAGGGGTCAAAGGGCTTGGGGACACTGGGAGGGGTCACTGGGGACACTGGGAGAGGTCATTGGGGACACTGGGAGAGGTCATTGGGGACACTGGGAGGGGTCAAAGGGCTTGGGGACACCAGGGGGAGTCAGGGGACAGCAGGAAAGGGTCAGGGGACACAAGGAAAGGGTCAGGGGACACAAGGAGGGGCAGGGGACACAAGGAGGGCTCACTGGGGACACCAGGGGTCAGGGGGTTTGGGGACACTGGGAGCGGTCACTGGGACACTGGGAGGGGTCAGGGGACACCAGGAGGGGTCACTGGGGACACTGGGGATCAGGGGGACTTGGGGACACCAGGAAAGGGTCAGGGGACACCAGGAGGGGTCACTGGGGACACCAGGGGTCAGCGGGGCTTGGGGACACCAGGAAAGGGTCAGGGGACATTAGGAGGGGTCAGGGGGTTTGGGGACACTGGGAGGAGTCATTGGGGACAGCTCCAGGTACTTGGGGACCCCCACAGAAAGCAGCTCAGGGGGTCCCTAACCCCACAGATCAGGGGGTCCCCAGCCCCACAGCCAGACCTGGATGGGATCTGGGAGCCCCCACCCCACACAATCACACCCAGAACTCCCTCAGCGCACAGGACACCACATAAATGGGATCTGGTCCCAACCCCACACGGGTCCCTAAAGATCAGGGGGTCCCTAAACCCACAGATCAGGGCGTCCCCGGCCCCATAAACAGAACTGGATGAGATTTGGGATCTTCCATCCCACAGATCAGAGGAACCCAGAGCCCCCTCACAGCACAGGACACCACATAAATGGGGTCCAGTCCCAACCCCACAGCTCAGGGGGTCCCAACCCCACAGCTCAGGGGGTCCCTAAACCCACACATCAGAGGGTCCCCAACCCCACAGATCAGGGTGTCCCTAACCCCATAGATCAAGGTGTCCCTAAACCCCAGAACAGGGGGTCCCCAGCCCCACAAACAGACCTGGATGTGATCTGGGACCCCCCACCCCACAAATCACACCCAGATCCCCTCACAGCACAGCACAGCACCCAAAGGGAGGAAGTTGCCAGCCCCACAGATCAGGGTGACCCTAAACCCACACATCAGAGGGTCCCAACCCCACAGATCAGGGTGTCCCTAACCCCACAGATCAGGGGGTCCCTAACCCCACAGATGGGTGACCCTAAACCCACAGATCAGGGTGACCCTAACCCCACAGATCAGGGGGTCCCAACCCCACACAATCACACCCAGATCCCCCCCTCACAGCACAGCACCCAATGGGAGATGATTCCCTGCCCCACAGATCAGGGGGTCTGAACCCCATAGATCAGGGTGACCCTAACCCCACACATCAGGGGGTCCCAACTGCACAGATGGGTGTCCCTAACCCCACAACCAGACCCGGATGTGATCTGAGACCCCCCACCCCACACAATCACACCCAGAACTCCCCACAGCACAGGACAGCACCCAAGGGGGGTTCCTGTTCCAGCCCTACAGGTCAGGGGGTCCCCAGCCCCACAACCAGCCCCGGATGTGATCCGGGACCCCTCACCCCACACAATCACACCCAGATCCCCTCACAGCACAGGACACCACACAAATGGGTCTGGTCCCAACCCCACAGATCAGGGGGTCCCAACCCCACAGATCACACCCAGATCCCCTCCCCTCACAGCACAGCACCCAATGGGAGCTGCTTCCCCGCCCCACCCGGGGTGTCCCCGCGGTGTCCCCAGGGTGTCCCCAGGGTGTCCCCGCGGTGTCCCCAGGGTGTCCCCAGGGTGTCCCCAGGATGTCCCCAGGGTGTCCCCGCGGTGTCCCCAGGGTGTCCCCGTGGTGTCCCCGGGGTGTCCCCAGGGTGTCCCCAGGGTGTCCCCGGGGTGTCCCAGGCTGTCCCAGGGTGTCCCCAGGATGTCCCCGCGGCGTCCCCAGGGTGTCCCCGCGGTGTCCCCAGGGTGTCCCCGGGATGTCCCCGCGGTGTCCCCAGGGTGTCCCCAGGGTGTCCCCGCGGTGTCCCCGGGATGTCCCCAGGGTGTCCCCGCGGTGTCCCCAGGGTGTCCCCAGGGTGTCCCCAGGGTGTCCCAGGGTGTCCCCAGGGTGTCCCCGCGGTGTCCCCAGGGTGTCCCCAGGGTGTCCCCAGGGTGTCCCCGCGGTGTCCCCGCGGTGTCCCCAGGATGTCCCAGGGTGTCCCCAGGGTGTCCCCAGGGTGTCCTAGGGTGTCCCCAGGGTGTCCCCAGGGTGTCCCAGGGTGTCCCCAGGGTGTCCCCGCGGTGTCCCCGGGATGTCCCCGCGGTGTCCCCAGGATGTCCCAGGGTGTCCCAGGATGTCCCCGCGGTGTCCCAGGATGTCCCCAAGGTGTCCCCAGGGTGTCCCAGGGTGTCCCCAGGGTGTCCCCAGGGTGTCCCTGCAGTGTCCCAGGGTGTCCCAGGGTGTCCCCGCGGTGTCCCAGGGTGTCCCAGGGGTGTCCCCGCGGTGTCCCCAGGGTGTCCCCGGGTGTCCCAGGCTGTCCCCGCGGTGTCCCCAGGGTGTCCCAGGATGTCCCCAGGGTGTCCCCGCGGTGTCCCCAGGGTGTCCCAGGGGTGTCCCAGGGTGTCCCCAGGGTGTCCCCAGGGTTGTCCCAGGATGTCCCCGGGGTGTCCCAGGGTGTCCCCACGGTGTCCCCAGGGTGTCCCAGGGTGTCCCAGGATGTCCCCAGGGTGTCCCCCGCGGTGTCCCCAGGATGTCCCCAGGGTGTCCCCGCGGTGTCCCCAGGGTGTCCCCAGGGTGTCCCCACGGTGTCCCCGGGATGTCCCCAGGCTGTCCCATGGTGTCCCCAGGGTGTCCCCAGGGTGTCCCCGCAGTGTCCCCAGGGTGTCCCAGGGTGTCCCCGCAGTGTCCCCAGGGTGTCCCCAGGGTGTCCCCGCAGTGTCCCCAGGGTGTCCCAGGGTGTCCCCGCGGTGTCCCCAGGGTGTCCCCGGGGTGTCCCCAGGGTGTCCCCAGGGTGTCCCAGGGTGTCCCCGGGGTGTCCCCAGGGTGTCCCCAGGGTTGTCCCAGGGTGTCCCCAGGGTGTCCCCAGGGTGTCCCCGCGGGTGTCCCCGCGGTATCCCCAGGGTGTCCCCAGGGTGTCCCCAGGGTGTCCCCGCGGTGTCCCCAGGGTGTCCCCAGGGTGTCCCAGGGTGTCCCCGGGTGTCCCCAGGGTGTCCCCAGGGTTGTCCCCAGGATGTCCCCGCGGTGTCCCCAGGGTGTCCCCGCGGTGTCCCCGGGGTGTTCCCAGGGTGTCCCCAGGGTGTCCCCAGGGTGTCCCAGGGTGTCCCCGGGGTGTCCCCGCGGTGTCCCAGGGTGTCCCCAGGGTGTCCCCATGGTGTCCCCAGGGTGTCCCCGGGGTGTCCCCGCGGTGTCCCCAGGGTGTCCCCAGGGGTCCCCGGGATGTCCCCACGGTGTCCCAGGGTGTCCCAGGGTGTCCCCAGGGTGTCCCGGGATGTCCCCAGAGTGTCCCCGGCGTGTCCCAGGGTGTCCCAGGGTGTCCCCAGGGTGTCCCCGCGGTGTCCCCAGGGTGTCCCCAGGGTGTCCCCAGGGTGTCCCAGGGTGTCCCCAGGGTGTCCCCGCGGTGTCCCCAGGGTGTCCCCAGGGTGTCCCCAGGGTGTCCCCGCGGTGTCCCCGCGGTGTCCCCAGGATGTCCCAGGGTGTCCCCAGGGTGTCCCCAGGGTGTCCTAGGGTGTCCCCCAGGGTGTCCCCAGGGTGTCCCAGGGTGTCCCCAGGGTGTCCCCGCGGTGTCCCCGGGATGTCCCCGCGGTGTCCCCAGGATGTCCCAGGGTGTCCCAGGATGTCCCCGCGGTGTCCCAGGATGTCCCCAGGGTGTCCCCAGGGTGTCCCAGGGTGTCCCCAGGGTGTCCCCAGGGTGTCCCTGCAGTGTCCCAGGGTGTCCCCCAGGGTGTCCCCAGGGTGTCCTCAGGGTGTCCCCGGGGTGTCCCAGGCTGTCCCGGGGTGTCCCCAGGGTGTCCCCCGCGGTGTCCCAGGGTGTCCCCAGGGTGTCCCCGCGGTGTCCCAGGATGTCCCCAGGGTGTCCCAGGGTGTCCCAGGGTGTCCCCAGGGTGTCCCCAGGGTGTCCCTGCAGTGTCCCAGGGTGTCCCCAGGGTGTCCCCAGGGTGTCCCAGGGTGTCCCAGGGTGTCCCCGCGGTGTCCCAGGGTGTCCCAGGGGTGTCCCCGCGGTGTCCCCAGGGTGTCCCCGGGTGTCCCAGGCTGTCCCCGCGGTGTCCCCAGGGTGTCCCAGGGTGTCCCAGGATGTCCCAGGATGTCCCCAGGGTGTCCCCGCGGTGTCCCCAGGGTGTCCCAGGGGTGTCCCAGGGTGTCCCCAGGGTGTCCCCAGGGTGTCCCAGGATGTCCCCGGGGTGTCCCAGGGTGTCCCCACGGTGTCCCAGGGTGTCCCAGGGTGTCCCAGGATGTCCCCAGGGTGTCCCGCGGTGTCCCCAGGATGTCCCCAGGGTGTCCCCGCGGTGTCCCCAGGGTGTCCCCAGGGTGTCCCCGGGATGTCCCCAGGCTGTCCCATGGTGTCCCCAGGGTGTCCCCAGGGTGTCCCCGCAGTGTCCCCAGGGTGTCCCAGGGTGTCCCCGCAGTGTCCCCAGGGTGTCCCCAGGGTGTCCCCGCAGTGTCCCCAGGGGTGTCCCAGGGTGTCCCCGCGGTGTCCCCAGAGTGTCCCCAGGGTGTCCCCGCGGTGTCCCCAGGGTGTCCCAGGATGTCCCCGCGGTGTCCCCAGGATGTCCCCGGGGTGTCCCCAGGGTGTCCCCAGGGTGTCCCAGGGTGTCCCCGGGGTGTCCCCAGGGTGTCCCCAGGGTGTCCCAGGGTGTCCCCAGGGTGTCCCCAGGGTGTCCCCGCGGTGTCCCCGCGGTATCCCCAGGGTGTCCCCAGGGTGTCCCCAGGGTGTCCCCGCGGTGTCCCCGGGGTGTCCCCAGGGTGTCCCCAGGGTGTCCCAGGGTGTCCCCGGGGTGTCCCCGCGGTGTCCCAGGGTGTCCCCAGGGTGTCCCCATGGTGTCCCCAGGGTGTCCCCGGGGTGTCCCCGCGGTGTCCCCAGGGTGTCCCCAGGGTGTCCCCGGGATGTCCCCACGGTTGTCCCAGGGTGTCCCAGGGGTGTCCCCAGGGTGTCCCGGGATGTCCCCAGAGTGTCCCCGGCGTGTCCCAGGGTGTCCCAGGGTGTCCCCAGGGTGTCCCCGCGGTGTCCCCAGGGTGTCCCAGGGTGTCCCCGCGGTGTCCCCAGGGTGTCCCAGGGTGTCCCCGCGGTGTCCCAGGGTGTCCCAGGGTGTCCCCGGGGTGTCCCCAGGGTGTCCCCAGGGTGTCCCCGCGGTGTCCCAGGCTGTCCCAGGGTGTCCCCAGAGTGTCCCCAGGGTGTCCCCAGGGTGTCCCAGGATGTCCCCCAGGGTGTCCCCAGGGTGTCCCAGGATGTCCCCAGGGTGTCCCCAGGGTGTCCCCAGGGTGTCCCCGCGGTGTCCCCAGGGTGTCCCCGGGGTGTCCCCAGGATGTCCCCGCGGTGTCCCCAGGGTGTCCCCGCGGTGTCCCCGGGATGTCCCCGCGACGTCCCCAGGGTGTCCCCGGGGTGTCCCGTGGTGTCCCCAGGGTGTCCCCAGGGTGTCCCCAGGGTGTCCCCAGGGTGTCCCCAGGATGTCCCCAGGGTGTCCCCGGCGTGTCCCAGGGTGTCCCAGGATGTCCCCAGGGTGTCCCCAGGGTGTCCCCAGGGTGTCCCCGCGGTGTCCCCAGGGTGTCCCCAGGGTGTCCCAGGGTGTCCCCCAGGGTGTCCCCGGGGTGTCCCCAGGGTGTCCCCAGGGTGTCCCCAGGGTGTCCCAGGGTGTCCCCACGGTGTCCCAGGGTGTCCCCAGGGTGTCCCCAGGGTGTCCCCGCAGTGTCCCCAGGGTGTCCCAGGGTGTCCCAGGCTGTCCCCAGGGTGTCCCCGGGGTGTCCCCGCGGTGTCTCAGGGTGTCCCCAGGGTGTCCCAGGGTGTCCCAGGGTGTCCCCAGGGTGTCCCCGCGGTGTCCCCAGGGTGTCCCCGGGGTGTCCCCGCGGTGTCTCAGGGTGTCCCCAGGGTGTCCCAGGGTGTCCCCGCGGTGTCCCCAGGGTGTCCCCATGGTGTCCCCAGGGTGTCCCCAGGGTGTCCCCGCGGTGTCCCAGGCTGTCCCAGGGTGTCCCCAGGGTGTCCCCAGGGTGTCCCAGGATGTCCCCGCAGTGTCCCCAGGGTGTCCCAGGATGTCCCCGGGATGTCCCCAGGGTGTCCCCGCGGTGTCCCCAGGGTGTCCCCTCACCGCCATGACGCATTTGGGGCAGCGCCAGATGCCCTTGGGGATCTCGGGCAGGGGTGGCAGCAGGCAGAAGATGTGGTAGTTGTCATCGCAGCCGTCACACAGCAGCAGCTTGTCGTCCTCGTCACCGCGCGAGCAGATGCGGCACACGTAGGAATCCACCTGGAAAAGGCCGGGGAAAAGGGGATTTGGGGCTTTTGGATGGAATTTTTAATCTAATTAAACCCCAAATAAATTGGGTTTTATTTATGGGGTTATTTTAGGTTATGTGGTGGGGGTGTTGTGTTGGTTTTGGGCTGGTTTGGGGGTATTTAAATTCAAATTTTTAATTTTTAATTCAAATTTTTAATTGGGGGAGTTAAGGGTAGAAATAGGTCAGGGGATTTTGGGGGAAAGCTTGGGGTGGGAAAGGAGGGAATGGGCGAGGAAATTGAATTTAACTAAAGTTAAATTTAACTAAAGTTGAATGGAATTAAAATTGAATGGAATTAAAATTGAATGGAATTAAAACTGAATTGAGTTAAAATTGAATTGAATTAAAATTGAATGGAATTAAAATTGAATCGAATTGAAATTGAATCGAATTGAAATTGAATCGAATTAAAATTTAATCGAATTAAAATTGAATCGAATTGAAATTGAATGGAATTAAAATTGAATTGATTTAAAATTGAATGGAATTAAAATTGCACTGAATTAAAATTGAATTGAACTGAAATTTAGAATTTCAACTGGGAGAGGGTCCGCTAAAAAACAGCCCCAAAAACGGAAAAAAAAACCCCAAAAAATAACCCCCAAAAAAACCCCAAAAACCCAAAAAAACCCCAAAAAACCCCAAAAAACCCCAGAAAAAAACCCCAAAAAACCCAAAACCAACACCCCTAAACCTGGGGGGGATTTGGGGGTTTTGGTTTGGAATTTTTAATCTATTTCAAGCCAAAATAAAGTGGGGTTTAGTTTTGGGGGTATTTTAGGTTATTTGGTGGGGGTGTTGTGTTGTTTTGGGGGTATTTAAATTCAAATTTTAATTGGGGGAGTTAAGGGAGATGGGGTAGAAATAGGTCAAGGGAAAATTGAACTAAAGTTGAATGGAATTAAAGTTGAATTGAATTGAAACTAAATTGAATTAAAATTGAATCAAATTAAAATTGAATTAAAATTGAATCGAATTGAAATTGAATTGAACTGAAATTTAGAATTTCAACTGGGAGAGGCTCCGCTAAAAACCCCCAAAAAACTGAAAAAAAAAAACCAAAAAAACCCCAAAAAAAACCCCAAAAAACAAAACAAAACAAAAAAAAACCCATAAAAACCCCCCAAAAAAACCCCAAAAAAACCCCCAAAAAACCCCAAAAAACCCAAAAAATCCCCAAAAAAACGACTAAAAAACCCCCCAAAAATGCAAAAAAAACCCCCAAAAAATGCAAAAAAAACCCAAAAAAAACCCCAAAAAAACCCCAAACCTCCCCCCAACAAAACCCCAATAAAAGCCCACCCCAAGCCCCCTAACCCTGTGGGGATTTGGGGTTCCCCACCCCGGTGACCCCCACTCACGAACTGGCTGCTGCTGTGGCTGCGGCGCAGCCTCATTGTCATCTTGGTGAACCCAAAAAAACAAAACGCCCCCCAAAAAAACCCAAACCAAAAAAAAAACCCCAAAAAAACCTTCAAAAAACCTCCCCAAAAAAACCCCCAAAAAAAACCCAAAAAAATGACTAAAAAACCCCAAAAAAATGAAAAAAAAACCCCCAAAAATGCAAAAAAATACCCCCAAAAAAACCCCAAAAAAACCCCCAAAAAATGCAAAAAAAGCCAAAAAAAACCTCAAAAAAACCCCAAAAAAAACCCCAATAAAAGCCAACCCCAAGCCCCCTAACCCTGTGGGGATTTGGGGTTTCCCCACCCCGTAGAGCCCCACTCACGAACTGGCTGCTGCTGTGGCTGCGGCGCAGCCTCATCGTCATCTTGGTGAACCCAAAAAAAAACAAAATGCCCCCCCAAAAAACCCAAACGAAAAAAAAAACCCCAAAAAAACCTTCAAAAAACCTCCCAAAAAAACCCCAAAAAAACCTTCAAAAAACCTCCCAAAAAAAACCCAAAAAAACCCCAAAAAAAACGACTAAAAAACCCCCAAAAAATGCAAAAAAAAACCCCAAAAATGCAAAAAAAACCCAAAAAAACCCCAAAAAAACCCCAATAAAACCCAACCCCAAGCCCCCTAACCCTGTGGGGATTTGGGGTTCCCCACCCCGGTGACCCCCACTCACGAACTGGCTGCTGCTGTGGCTGTGGCGCAGCCTCATCGTCATCTTGGTGAACCCAAAAAAAACAAAACGCCCCCCCAAAAAACCCAAACCAAAAAAAACCTTCAAAAAACCTCCCAAAAAAAGCCCCAAAAAAACCCCCAAAAAAATGACTAAAAACCCCCAAAAACCCCAAAAAAACGACTAAAAAACCCCCAAAAAATGCAAAAAAAACACCCAAAAATGCAAAAAAAACCCCAAAAAAACCCAAAAAAAAACCCCCAAAAAAACCCCAAACCCCCCCCCCAACAAAACCCCAATAAAAGCCCACCCCAAGCCCCCTAACCCTGTGGGGATTTGGGGTTCCCCACCCCATAGAGCCCCACTCACGAACTGGCTGCTGCTGTGGCTGCGGCGCAGCCTCATCGTCATCTTGGTGCAGGGCTCGGGGCTGTGGCGCAGCTCCTCCCGAGCCCCCCCTGGGGATATCGGGGACCCCCGGGCTCCCCCGGAGGCTCCTCCTTCACCACCACCGTGGGGGGACACTCGGGGCCGTCCTTGTCTGCAGGGAGGGGGAAATGGGGTTATTGGGGGTTGGGGGTACTGGGGGGTTTGGGGGTGATGGGGGATTGGGGGTGATGGGGGTTTGGGGTGATGGGGGATTGGGGGGTGCTGGGAGATTGGGGGTGATGGGGGATTGCGGGATTGGGGGTTTGGGGGTCACAGAACAATTGGGGGGTACTGGGAGATTGGGGGTTTGGGGGGTAGCAGGATATTGGGGGGTAGCAGGATAATTGGGGGGTAGCAGGGTAATTGGGGTAATGGGGGATTGGGGTTACGGGGGGGGTTTGGGGGTAGCAGGGAAATTGGGGGTAATGGGGGATTGGGGTGTGCTGGGAGATTGGGGGGTACTGGGGGGTTTGGGGTAAAAGAACAATTGGGGGGTACTGGGGGGTTTGGGGGTAGCTGGGAAATTGGGGGTGATGGGGGATTGGGGGGTGCTGGGGGGTTTGGGGTAACAGAACAATTGGGGGGTACTGGGGGGTTTGGGGGTAGCAGGAAAATTGAGGAGTGCTGGGGGATTGGGGTTACTGGGGGGGTTGGGGGTAGCTGGGTAATTGGGGGTGATGGGGGATTGCGGGGTGCTGGGGGGTTTGGGGTAACAGAACAATTGGGGGGTACTGGGGGGTTTGGGGGTAGCAGGAAAATTGAGGAGTGCTGGGGGATTGGGGTTACTGGGGGGTTTGGGGGGTAGCAGGGTAATTGGGGGTGATGGGGGATTGCGGGGTGCTGGGAGGTTTGAGGGGTAGCAGGACAATTGGGGGGTGCTGGGGGGTTTGGGGGTAGCAGGAAAATTGGGGGGTGCTGGGAGATTTGGGGGTAACAGAACAATTGGGGGTAGCAGGACAATTGGGGGTTACTGGGGGGTTTGGGGTTACTGGGAGATTTGGGGGTAGCAGGACAATTGGGGGGTGCTGAGAGATTTGGGGGTAGCAGGGTAATTGGGGGGTGCTGGGGGACTGGGGGCTACTGGGAGGTTTGGGGGTCACAGAACAATTGGGGGGTTACTGAGAGGTTTGGGGGGTAGCAGGACAATTGGGGGGTACTGAGAGGTTTAGGGGTTTGGGGTTACTGGGGTATTGGGGGGGTACTGAGAGATTGGGGGGTACTGAGGGGTTTGGGGTCACAGAACAATTGGGGGGTACTGAGAAGTTTGGGGGTTAGCAGGACAATTGGGGGGTACTGGGAGGTTTGGGGGTAACAGAACAATTGGGGGTTACTGGGAGTTGGGGGTTACTGAGAGGTTTGGGGGTACTGAGAGATTGGGGGGTACTGGGGGGTTTGGGGCTCACAGAATAATTGGGGGGTGCTGGGAGGTTGGGGGGTAACAGAACAATTGGGGGATAGCAGGACAGTTGGGGGGTACTGGGGGGTTTGGGGGGTAGCAGGGAAATTGGGGGTAATGGGGGATTGGGGGTGCTGGGGGGTTTGGGGGTAGCAGGGTAATTGGGGGTAATGGGGGAATTGGGGGGTACTGGGGGGTTTAGGGGTAGCAGGGAAATTGGGGGGTACTGGGGGATTGGGGGGTACTGGGGGATTGGGGGTTACTGGGGGGTTTGGGGGGTAGCAGGAAATTTGGGGGGTAATGGGGATTGGGGGTAACAGAACAATTGGGGGTTACTGGGGGGTTTGGGGGTAGCAGGAAAATTGGGGGTAATGGGGGATTGGGGGTTAACAACAGTTGGGGGGTACTGGGAGATTTGGGGGTAACAGAACAACTGGGGGGTAGCAGAACAATTGGGGGTACTGAGAGATTGGGGGTTACTGGGGGGTTTGGGGGTAGCAGGGTAATTGGGGGGTAATGGGGGATTGGGGGTTACTTGGGGGTTTGGGGGGTAGCAGGATAATTGGGGGGTTAGCAGGATAATTGGGGGTACTGGGGGGTTTGGGGGTCACAGAACAATTGGGGGGTGCTGAGAGGTTTGGAGGTCACAGAACAATTGGGGGGTAGCAGGACAATTGGGGGGTATTGGGAGATTGGGGTTACTGAGAGGTTTGGGGGTTAGCAGCACAATTGGGGGGTACTGGGAGATTTGGGGGTCACAGAACAATTGAGGGTTACTGGGGATTGGGGGTTACTGGGAGGTTTGGGGGGAGAAAGGGGAGAGGAAAAGAACCCAAAAGAATTTGGGCAACACCCCAAACAAACTGTGGGCAAAGAGGCTCCCACAATGAACTATGGGGGTACACCAGAATTAAAAACCAAAATCCCCAAAACCACAGAGGCTCCCAGACAGATTTAAGAGGGTCCCAACAACCCCTGCACCCCAACATGAGGAGGGGGGTTAGGGTTAGAGAGGCTCCCACAATGAACTATGGGGCCAGAATTTAAAACCAAAATCCCCAAAAACCCACAGAGGCTCCCAGAGAGATTTAAGAGGTCCCAACAAAAGGGGTCCCTAAGGAACTGGAAGGAAAATGAGCCCTAAAGAGTGAGGGAAAAAGGGGTCCCTAAAGACTGGAAGGAAAAGGGGTCCCTAAAGAACTGGAAGGAAAATGAGCCCCTAAAGAGTGAGGGAAAAAGGGATCCCTAAAGAACTGGAAGGAAAAGGGGTCCCTAAAGACTGGGAGGAAAAGGGGGTCCCTAGAGAACTGGGGGAAAAAGGGATCCCTAAACAAATGGAAGAAAAGGGGTCCCTAAAGACTGGAAGGAAAAGGGGTCCCTAAAGAACTGGAAGGAAAATGGGTTCCTAAAGAGTGAGGGGAAAAAGGGATCCCTAAAGAAATGGGGGAAAAGGGATCCCTAAAGAAATGGGGGGAAAAGGGGTCCTTAAAGAAATGGGGGAAAAGGGGTCCCTAAAGAACTGGAAGGAAAAGGGGTCCTTAAAGAAATGGGGGAAAAGGGGTCCCTAAAGAACTGGGGGAAAAGGGGTCCCTAAAGAACTGGAAGGAAAAGGGGTCCCTAAAGAACTGAGGGGAACCCTGCACCCCAAGATGAGGAGGGGGGTTAGGGTTAGAGAGGCTCCCACAAGAACTATGGGGGTACACCAGAATTTAAAACCAAAAACCCCAAAACCCACAGAGGCTCCCAGGAAGATTTAAGAGGTGCCAACAAAAGGGGTCCCTAAGGAACTGGAAGGAAAATGAGCCCCTAAAGAGTGAGGGAAAAAAGGGGGTCCCTAAAGACTGGAAGGAAAAGGGGTCCCTAAAGAACTGGAAGGAAAATGGGTTCCTAAAGAGTGAGGGGAAAAAAGGGATCCCTAAAGAAATGGGGGAAAAGGGATCCCTAAATAACTGGGGGAAAAGGGGTCCCTAAAGAACTGGGGGAAAAGGGGTCTCTAAAGACTGGAAGGAAAAGGGGTCCCTAAAGAACTGAGGGGAACCCTGCACCCCAACATGAGGAGGGGGGTTAGGGTTAGAGAGGCTCCCACAATGAACTATGGGGCCAGAATTTAAAACCAAAAACCCCAAATCCCACAGAGGCTCCCAGAAAGATTTAAGAGGTCCCAACAAAAGGGGTCCCTAAGGAACTGGAAGGAAAAGGGGTCCCTAAAGAACTGAGGGGAACCCTGCACCCCAAGATGAGGAGGGGGGTTAGGGTTAGAGAGGCTCCCACAATGAACTATGGGGGTACACCAGAATAAAAAATCAAAATCCCCAAAAACCCACAGAGGCTCCCAGAAAGATTTAAGAGGTCCCAACAAAAGGGGTCCCTAAGGAAATGGAAGGAAAATGAGCCCCTATAGAGTGAGGGAAAAAGGGGTCCCTAAAGACTGGAAGGAAAAGGGGTCCCTAAAGAACTGGAAGGAAAATGGGTTCCTAAAGAGTGAGGGGAAAAGGGGTCCCTAAAGAAATGGGGGGAAAAGGGATCCCTAAAGAACTGGGGGAAAAGGGGGTCCCTAGAGAACTGGGGGAAAAAGGGATCCCTAAAGAAATGGAAGAAAAGGGGTCCCTAAAGACTGGAAGGAAAAGGGGTCCCTAAAGAACTGAGGGGAACCCTGCACCCCAAGATGAGGAGGGGAGTTAGGGTTAGAGAGGCTCCCACAATGAACTATGGGGCCACGCCAGAATTTAAAACCAAAATCCCCAAAAACCCACAGAGGCTCCCAGAAAGATTTAAGAGGTCCCAACAAAAGGGGTCCCTAAGGAACTGGAAGGAAAATGAGCCCCTAAAGAGTGAGGGAAAAAGGGGTCCCTAAAGAACTGGAAGGAAAATGGGTTCCTAAAGAGTGAGGGGAAAAAGGGATCCCTAAAGAAATGGGGGAAAAGGGATCCCTAAAGACTGGGGGGAAAAGGGGTCCTTAAAGAAATGGGGGAAAAGGGGTCCCTAAAGACTGGAAGGAAAAGGGGTCCCTAAAAGAACTGAGGGGAACCCTGCACCCCAAGATGAGGAGGGGGGTTAGGGTTAGAGAGG